TATAATTGTAATTCTTTTTTTTTTTTAATTTTAAAGGCAGTTGGGGTTAAGTGACTTGCCCAGGGTCACATAGCTAGTAAGTGTCAAGTGTTTGGTCTGAGGCTGGATTTGAACTCAGGTCCTCCTGACTTCAGGGCCAGTGCTCTATCCACTGTGCAACCTAGCTGCCCCCTATAATCATAATTCTTCCAGCAATCATACTATAGCATTTGTTTCCTCATATGTTGGTATGAGGTCCATATTATCACTGATGAAAGAATAACTGGACAATCTTATTTGCCAAATGACTGAAATTGAACTTAAAGTGTCAAAATTATTTTAATACTTGTTTTGCTGGAAATTTTTCTAAAATATTTTGCTTACTTGCCCCTTGTAAACAGAACATTGAACATAATTTACTTTTTCTTAATGATAATTATTCTTAATAACATTTAATTGTCAAATTATTAAACTGTTCTGTATACAGTGTTGACATCAGCCTGAACTCATACTTAATTTATAATAAATATATAATGAAACATATTTTTTCATTAAATCTCTCATGCTTATTAAAACCTTTTATCTCATCCAACACCTATCACAATGACTGTACAAGTAGGTACATGCATGTGTAATTTTATTATTGAATAGTAATGTTTTCTTTTTTGCCTCTTTAATAAAAGGGATATTTAATGTGTAGTTTATTACCTTGTTGGCTGTCTTTTTTGGAAATTACGGAAGTGAAGGCTAAAAGTGTCTTTCCCCTAAATTGTTTCCTTGTCTTTCATAAAATCATCCTCTTTAGTATTTTTAGTTATTTTCTAGCTTTTTCCCCCATGGAAAACATTCTATTATTTCTCCACTTGTAACCATTTTCCCTTCCTGTTTAACTTAATTTGTCTGGTACTCTGCATTCAGTTCTTGCTTTGAAAACGAATACTGAGTTTCCTTAGGAAATTTTTTTTTTTGAGATTTCTTTATATTTTTATTATCACTACACTGCTATCATTGATGTGGTAACACCACCATCTTGTGGACATTTAGTACATTGCTCCAAAAGTTCATTGAGCCAAGTTTTCGTTTCACCAACGACGGGATAGAGACTTCCTGTTTTAGCCTCTTAGATGTTGCTTTGTTGTTTCTAGTGTGGTGTTACTTTGCAGTTGAGTATGTTAGATTTCTAGGTTTAGGATAATTGGGAGTTTGTTTCAAATCTTTTTTGAGTGTTGCTCTATAAAGTACTAGAGAAGAGAAGAAATTAGGCCTAACCCCTGTCCACAAGAAGTTCATGCTTAGGAAGGCAACATTTCTGCACAAGAAATTAAAAATTAATCAAAATGTTTGACCACCTAGGATCATAGATTTAGGGTTGAAGAGGGACCCTAGACGCCATGTAGTCCAACGTTTTCATTTTATAAAGGAAACTGATTCTCAGGGAGGTTACTTGCCCAAGGTCACAGACAGATGTAGGCTTTGAACCCCGGGTACCATGACTCCAGCAGCAGTGCTTTTTCCACTGACCCCTGAAGTCAATATTTGGAGGAAGCTTCATAAAAGATGTGAGACATGAGTTAACTTTAAAAGTTAGTTAGATTTTAGATGGGCAGAGAGGTAGGGGCATGGAAACAGGAATGAGCATGATACCTCTGTAAAGGAGCAGATGGGTAGCCATTTTGAGTGTAAAAGAAGCATTGTATTTGGGGACAGGGAGGTAAGATTGGATCGATAGCATAGAGTGCTTTGAATGCTAGTAAGAAGAATTTAGACTTGATTGTGATAGGCAAAAAGAAATCATATGTTCTTGATGGTTTAAGATATTGTGCCTAAAGTAGTTTTGTTATGATGTTTCCATCTTTTAAAATTCTTGCCTTATCGATAGTATTCTACCTTTTAAAAGTAATATGTTTTTAAATTTAAAAATTAGCTTTAATAATTTTATTGATTTTTTTTCTGTGTGAATTTCTTTTCTGAACATATCCTTCTCTCTTCCTCTCCCTAGAGATTCATCCCTTGTAATAAAAATAGAAAAAAAATAAGTTCAGCAAAACTAAGCAATACATCATGATGTACCATAATGAAATACATCCGTCAAAGTCTTGCAGAGCTTCCATGGGCCCAAGTTTGATTACTGCAGTTACATAGTTTCTGTCTCCTGCTCCCACACTCCTCCCTTCCTGCCCAGCCCTACTCTTCTCCCCACTTTGTCTTTTCCTCTCTCCTCCATCCCTTCTCATCTACTGTATAACCATCACTGCCAGACTCAGCCCTAAATGGTATAGTTCTGAAATCTGTCCTTTTACTTTTCTGTGTTCAGACTCCAAATCTTCTGTGTAAATTGCCCTACCTTGCTTATGGCTAATAACCAAATTTTCATCAATTGCTCATAGTCAAATAAATTACACCTTTTTTTCCATATCATATGGTATTTCTAGTGTCCATTCCACGTCAGTGTATTGTATGATAGTGTGTCACTTTGAAAAGGAACAGCTGCTGTCTAGTGTGAGTAAACTTTTCTTTTAGATCTCAGAGCAAAATAAACTCAGCAACAAATAACTCCATGTGAAAGGGCAGTACTTTGCACTTCACCCACGCACCTTTTATCCTCAGCTTTTGTACCTTTGGTCTGCTTTGCCTGTCTTAATTTTTGCCACCCCCAAATTAAAAACTAGAGGTTTTCATCATAATCTTTTACTTTTTTCCCATATCCCTATATTTATCAGATTCTAGGCCCAGTAAAATCTTATTTCTCCTGGTTCTCCAGTTCTGTTTCCTTGTAGCATAAAAAAGCTCAGTAGTTGTCTATATCATTTCTTCTTCCTTCTCTTCTCTTTCCTTCTTTTCCTCCTCATCTTCTTCCTCTTCTTTTGGGGAATCAAAGGTTAGTAGTAGCTGATACAGACTGTCTCCCCTGTGTAATTCCTTTTGTTTCATGTTTTTTATATTTCTTATGGCCTACCCGGTTTGTTCCTTTCTCTTTCAATAGGTTTGTCACTTACTACTGTTTTAAAAAAATTTTATGGCTAACATGGCAATACATATCTTTATATATCAGAATTTAATAATAGTGCTGTCACCTTTGGTTAAGAACAATAGGTGGCTTATATTTTCCTGAATGTTGATGTAGGTTGCTGCTTGCAAATAAAATCGTAATAAAAAAAAATCTATTCAAGAAAGCATTTATAAAGTGAACCAAGTTGCTGTTATGGGTGGTTACCTGTGATTCCTTTTCTCGTTGTTTCTTGTGTTTAAAAAAAAAATAAGCATAGGGGCAGGGAGAAGGAAGCTGTATATGGTAAAGATTTGTTATCAAAACTGTAGCTTGGGATAAAGGGGGCTAGTCTGTAATGAGCGTTCGCAAAGAATTCTTTAAGAAAAGAATTAGGAAAAGATGGCCTGCTAGGTATTCGTTCTAGGGGCAGTTAGATGGCACAGTGGATAGAACTCTGGGAAGTTCAGGAATCAGGAAGATTCATCTTCATGAGTTCAAATCCAGCCTCTGACTCTTACAGCTGTATGACCCTGGGCAAGTCACTTAACCTGGCTTGCCTCAGTTTCCTCATCTGTAAAATGAGCTGGAGAAGGAAATGGCAAACCACTCCAGTATGTTGACAAGAAAACCCCAAATGGGGTCACGAAGAGTTGGACATGACTGAAACAACTCAGCTACAACAAACATTCATTCTATTGGACCTAGAAAACAAAGATATAAAATACTTCAGTTATTTATATAGCAATACAACACAATATTTATTAAACACGTATTATAAACAACACTTAAAATTAAATAACCAAAGCTTGATAACCGAAAGTATATCTAAGAGAGGAGTTCTTAACTTGGAATCCACAGATAGATTTTAGGGGCTGCATAAATTGGATTGGAAAAATTGTATTTGCGTGACACAACACAGGCAAGTGCTGCCAGAAACACTTCAGATTGATTACATGTTTGATTTTGAATTAATTTTTGGTCATTATGTGTTCAGAAACCTTTTACTCTTGCCAAATATTTTGCGACCCTGCATGGGGTCATGATCCACAGTTTAAGAAGTGCTGCCTTAGATCATGAGTTCTTAAGATTGTTTTTATTTATTTATTTATTCATTTTGGTGGGGGGGGTGCATCATGAACTCCTTTGGCAGTCTGGTTACTTACACACACACATACACACATCTTATATACATATACCTATTTTAAATATATAATATTTTAAATTTTTCCGGGTGTTTTACATACATGGAAAGGAAAAACATGTATCAAGCACCGATGTACCAGGCACTGTGCTAGGCACCTTATAAATATTATTTCTGTATTTCCAACTTCAGAGCAAACCTGTGAGGGAGGCTCTACAGATATCATTACCATCCATGTTATGCTCATGAGGGAACTAAGCTCAGAGATTAAGTGACTTTGACTATGGTCACCCCATTAGGGTCACAGGATCACTGATGACACAATTAGGGTCACTGGTGTCTCTTTCATCTCCACTATCTCATCTCCCTCTGTCTCTCTGTCTGTCAGTCTGTCTCTCTTCTCTTTCTCTCTCTCTGTCTTTTCTGTCTCTTTTATTTGTTCTCAAGAGGCAGCATATGAATAGTGGATAAAGAGTTTACCATGAAGCCAAGAAAACTTGGGTTCAGGTTCTACCTGGAAATAATACTGGCCAGGTGTGACCCTAGACAAATCACTTCATTTCTCAGCCCTTTAAGCACATTTCGAGATTATATATTCCATTGAAGTTGTTGACCTGCAGCGGGAGAGGTAATTTCTTATTCTGCAAGTTCCCTCTACTAATAAAATCAAAGACCTTGTCTGTCTGTCTGTCTGTCTATCTATCTATCTATCTATCTATCTATCTATCTATCTATCTATCTATCTATCTATCTATCCATCTATCTATCTATCTATCTTTAATTATTCTTAAGGTAACACGGGATTGGGGAATTTGATGTACTGTACATTGACCTTTTTTTTCTTTCTTGTTTCAAGACGGTCATCTAATTATCTCCTTGTCTTCCTTTCAGTCCCGATGATATTGGTACCTGTTGGTATATCCTTCTCTCTGGTTCGGTGTTCATTAAGGAGTCCATGTTTCTCCCGAGGAGCAGGTACTGTATGCCCATTCTTTAATAACTTACCCAGGAAGGGTAAAATTTAGAGCTCTAGTTTTCTCTGATGTCAGAACATACTCATAATTTCAAATGTTTCATATTTTAGTAGTCTTTTACTGAAAGTGAGTTTTATAAGACTAGAGAAAGTTAAACTTAGATGTTGATTTCTTTCACAATCCAATCATTTCTATTGCCCACCTCACCATCCCCCAATGTACATGCACACATCAACTATATACTTTTTCCTTGCTTAATTAAAATGTTAGTTAATATGACTTCAGTGTGTGATGATGTGTTAAGTAACTAAAGTTGTTGTTGACAGTTCCCTAGCTTTTTATTTTTATAACAGAATCTAAGTCAACAAATATTTATTGAATGCATATGATGATCTTAGTTTATTAAAAAAGAAAATCATCATTGTTAATTACCATAAATACAAAATGCATTATTTGGTGTAGAAAAATGTGCAACAAATTAAGGGCAAATTTATTTATTAGATATGCATCACATTAATAATACCCACCATTCCCATTTCAGTTCAATAAACATTAAGTGCCTAATGTGTTCCTGGCACCATGCTAGGCATAGTGATTCTCCATCCCCCCTTCCCCCCCAAAAAAAGTCCTTGACTTCAAGGAGCCTATGTTTCCCTGGGAGGGAGGGAAGAAAACATATACACAGATAATGCCATATGAATCACATACTAAGAGAGAGAAATTGGACCTGTTTTGAAAAACCAAAAATCCTTGTAGTGATGACTTGCTCATATTGTATGTTGGTAAGAAGGCTTATTATATGCAACATATTTTGTTTTTCATATGTAGGCACTTGAGTACATAGTGGATAATTTGGTTTTAGTAGGATTCTTATAGTACTAAGCAGTTTTAAAAATTTTGATCCTGGGAAGAGAGGGAAAAATAGGACTAGGATTAGATACATTTAGCAATTGCCTAGTTTATGACATTCAAGGGAATTCATTAATTAGTTAATCAACAATCATTTGTTAAGCACCTACTATGTGCGTGCCTGCCAATGTGCTAGGTGCTCAGGGTACAGAGGCAAAAGTGATAGAACCCCTCCCTTCAAGGAGCTTATATTCAATTGAGAGTGACAACATATCTATCTATCTATCATAAGTACATATAGAATAAATACAAGTAAATCCAATTTAGTTAGGAAAGGAACACATTTCAGAGTCTAATCATTAGACTGTGAGGTCTATGAGGCTAATGAGGTAGTGCAGTGGATAGAGCTCTGGACCTGGAGTCAGTGAGTTTAAATCCACCTCAGGCACTTATTAGCCCTCTGATCTGTGCAGGTTACTTAATCATTTTCTGCCTCAATTTCCTCACCTATAAAATGAGGATAATATAATAGCACCTTCCTGCCAGGATTGTTATGAAGATCAGCTGAGAATAATTGTAAGGCACTTTACAAACCTTAAAGTGCTATTCAATGCTGGTGATGATGAATGATGATGATGATGATGATAATAATGATAAAAGGCTGGGATTATTTCTTATCTAAACTCACTCAATATCTTGCACGAGGACGTGTACAGAGTAGATGCTTAATAAATTTTTGCTAAATTTATGGAATGAATTTTTTTTAAATGCCAGAAATCCTTCTTCTCCTTAGCAAGTTAATATTTACTGTGTAAAAAGTTTCAGTGTTACAATGAAGACTTGAAGCCCTTTGCAAACATTAGCCTGCACTGGGGCTATAATTTTGAAAACTGAGGGGTAGGATTTCTAAAACCTTGCCTAGACCAAACAAGTTATCTTGCTTCTGGGGAGGGCGTATGCCTAGCAGTGATGTTTCTTTTCAAGAACTTGGACCTCCTATCACTTAGGAAACAGTGTCCATAGCTGGCCTTGCAGGGACAGTTGATGGGATGCAGTTCTTACGCTCTAAGCAAACATTTCCTAAGGGTTGCTGTAGAGCAGGTAGGGCTTGATCAGACAAGGTGCTGCTCTTGGGCCCCATTGAATCCTCTTCTAATTTTTTTAAATTGCTAAGACTTATATTTCACTGCAATTCAAGGGAACTCAGCAGGGGCACTCCATGGGTCCCCTTTGTCCCCATAGCTTCTTGCTGTCATTGCTTCACAACATTGTGTGTGGGCTTTACTAAGTTGTACTTCAATAATTAAATGTTTCTGTGATTCTAAGGATATGGGTAATCACTCCACTAGTACAGATCACCCGATTCTTTACTTCTAATTTTGTATGACTATTAGGCACGTCTTCCTGTAAATCTTAGCCAAGGTGCTGAGGTCCACAGAACCTAGAGGGTCAGAGAGTAGATTTCAGGGGGAAGAGGGTCTGTGAATTTGTTGTGTTTGTGTGTGTGTGTTCCCATTATAATTTATTTCCTTTATCATCCTATATATTTTATGTATTTTACATATTATTCTGCAAAGGGTTCAGTGGGCTTCACCAAACTGTCAAAGGGGTCCGTGATACAAAAAAAAAAAGTTAAGAACTTTTTATCAATTTCTAATTCTTTGCCACCACAAAAAGAGCTGCTATAAAAAAAATTTTTTATATATATGTGTCCTTTTCCCATTTTAAAATCTTTTTGGGATACAGATCTAGTAGTGGTATTGCTGAGTCAAAGGCTATGCACAGATTATGTAGCCCTTTGGAAATAATTCCAAATTGTTCTCCAAAATGATATGAGCAGTTCACAACTTCACTAACAGTATATTAGTGTACCTATTTTTCCACATTCCCTTCAATATTTATTATTTTCCTTTTCTGTTATGTTAGGCAGTCTGATAGCACATCTGATCGGTGTGAGGTGGTACCTCAGAGTTGTTTTAATTTGCATTTCTTCAATTGATAGTGTTAGAGCATTTTTTTTATGTGACTGTTGATAGCGTTAATTTCATTTTCTGAAAACTGAGTGACCTATACTTTCAGTGACTCTGCTTTGGCAAGTTTAATATGGTAGGGTTGCCCATTTCTATAATTATTAGACTTGAGTTTCCCACCTATTGAGACATCCTTAGGTGTACAGAAGTATTTCTTTATTGTTCTCTGTAGCTCCTCTCTATTTGCTTCCTGGGCCCACTATGTGTTTTCTTTCCTCCTTTTTGTGATTCACCTATGGAAGGCATGTGGGAGCCCAGGTGAGGCTTTGTAGGCACGCTCTCAGAATTATCTGTGGTTCAAAAGCAGAAAATGTAGGGAGACTTTTTAGTCCTCTTCCTTATCCTGACTCCAATTTGGAAGGAAGTTTTTATGCATGCAAAAACAATGGATTGATGCCATGAAACACTAGAGAATCCTGTAGCATTTCCCTCCAATATCCCAATAATCAGTCACTCACAAACTAACACCTATGCTTTTGCAGCCTCCAGAGAAACATTCCAGTGTTCAGATCACTGTTACTTCCTAAATGCTAAAAGGAGTTGGAAGTTACAAAAATTCCTTTTGTCAGGAACGTGGGACTGTTTTTAGTTGTTTTTGGAGGAAGATTTAAGTTTCTCTGTTCTCCTAGGCTGAATGTCAAATGTTTGCAAGTCAATAACTTTCACAGAATGCCAGGGAGGTAATGGCAGTTCAGACTTAATGACAAGCTATCTCTGTTTATAGGGTATTCCACCATGTTGCATCTGGTTACATTTATTACATCCACACTGCAGTTTTAGCTTTATTTTGAGGTGGGGCTCTAGAAATATTACCCTAATTAGAGAGTAAAACTGGGGTTTCATTACTACTGTACTATATCAACATGTTCATAATCTGTACATCTTTATTCTTCCCAGCCATAAGGCAGCTTGAGCCGGTTTCAGATTAGGTGTTATTATCTGTCACTTAGCTATGCGGAAAATGTGCACAGTTGATACTTAAAAGCCAAATACTTTTGGGAGGTGAATTGTATATGCAAGAAACAAGTAGAGTAGTTAGTCTTCTGAATAGTTGAGCTTATTTTGCTTAATCTCCATTATGCTTTCAAAAAGTCTTGAAGTAATCTTGAATAACTTGTTTATGATGTAACATTTTCCCAGATGATCTTCATAGAGCTATTCTAGCACTTGGGCTCACGAAATCAAGATGACATTATCTTATAGAAAATCTTTTTTTGGGGAGGGGCGGCGGGTAGCCTCCACATTTCTTTAGCAAATGATCCAAATGGTTGTTGGATGCTACATCAGATCTTTGAAACTTAATTATTTTTAAAGAAATGAGAAACCAGCTTTTCATATCTTTCTTCTTTCTTAAATGTGAATAAGCCTTTGATTTTCTATGTAGCTTGTATGTATTTTATGCATTAGGTTTTAAATGTAACAACATGTAAGTCTGATTACATTTATCAGGTTTGAAGCAAATAGATTGAACTCTAACTAGGTCGTGAGAATATAAAACTAAGGAAAAGAAGGATGGTGTAGTAGTGAAAAAAATACTGGTTTAGGAGAGAGAATGCCTGGTTTTTTGTCTTTAGTGTGTCTCACATTAGCTGTGCCTTTGGGCAAGTCACTTTGCCCGAGCAGCTCTCTATTTTCTTATATCCAAAGGGGGGTCAGGTTAGCAGATGTAGAAGGGAAAGAAGTTCTTAGAAGTTTGGCTACCAGATGATTTTATTTTTGCCCAGAGAAACTCATGAAGACCATAAAGAAAATGTGACCTGTGTTCATTCAAAGTACTCATACTGATGAAACTATAGCTCTTTTGAACTGTTAGGTATTAATAATTATATAAACAGTTCACATTTATGTAGGTATATAGAACAGTTTCCCTCCAACCTCATGAGCTATGTGGCATAACTTTCACTATCTCTACTTTACGGATTGAAAAACTGAACTTGAAAAAACACATGGTTTTACGAGTCACTGAATTGTGACTAGACCCCACATTCGGTGACTCCAAGCCTGGTTTGCTAGCCAGTACACCACGTTGTCTTCAGTTATAATGCCAGGATTACAGTTAATGATGGAAAACAGATAAAATTATGTCTTGTCATAAAAAACAAAAATATGCAAATACACGTTC